GTCCTAGAGCCTATTGTGACGTCTTCAAATTGCTTGCTTTGCAATTATGGTTGAAATCAATAATGATTTTACAAAAAATACTGCAACAACCAATGATAATTATCATTATATTCATTTTGTCAATTTATTTTTTTTTTACATTTATTTTCTTAATTTTTTGGTTAATACATTTTGAAAAAAAGTGAAATCTTCCCATCATAAGTTCTTCAAATTGAACAGTAAGATCACTAATACTATTACACATTTAATTTAAATTTTCTGCTCGGATCAAATTGGTTGTAGCTACAGTAGAAAATGTTCTAAGTATTCAACCAGATAACATCCCAGTTAAGACAAACAGGATGTTGTTTTCAGAGTTCAGCCAGCAGGGCCAAAGGTAGTGTTGTTTTCCCAAAATAACCCATGTCTATCCTTCAGTATGTTGCTACCTTTACCCTGCATGAAGGAAACACACACATCAGGCTTTAAAAATAGTGTTTACTCTGTGTGCCTTCATGCGTGCGGGCCTACTTTTGTAGAAGTGGTTGCGGGCGAGCAGACAGGCTGGAGAGTTGACGCTAGTCATGGTGTGTCAGATGTGCAAAGTCACTCACCTACAGGTTTAACGAGAGAGAGAGAGGAAGATCATGACTCGGGTCTAAGCTGAAGTTCAGCAGATGACTCAGGCACCAGGTGATTATAATCTGCTGTTGATCAGGTTTAAGGTGAACAAACGTCTTTACAAATCAAAGTGAAAAAAATGACAGAAACAAAGAAAGAGAAAAGCTTTTTCATTTGTCATCATTACAAACTACAGTTGTGTCCTTTGAATGAGCCATACGTCATAATCCTGACATGCATTAGAAAATCTCTAGATTTTTGAGTCTTGTGTTGACAGATTGATGGATGGATGTATATTAGTGTTGTAACGGACCAGTTGATCCATACTTATCTCTCCTTCTCCACGGTTTGACATGCATGTGAACTGTTAAATTACTAGCTGCAGCTACATTTCATTGTGCCGTCCTGTATTGTATAATGACAACACAGCTCAATCTTGTAGGCCACAGTAGTTTATACTCGACAGTATCAGTACATAGTGTTGAATTGGGAAACAACCTGGGTGCCTGGAGATACTGTGTTAAAGTGTTATAGAAAACAGAAGATGCACTGGTCAGTTAGCGTGATCATAGAGAGAAGAGAGGGCCACCTACAGAAACTAAAAACTGCACCAACAGAGAGTCCAAAGTAATATCGTCAGAGGGAGACGTGGAGGAAAGAAAGAAGGTAAATACTGAGCTGAGTGGAATGTCCAAATAAGCAAATAAAAGAAACGATTATTCCAATAAACCCAAGGACAGTTTGTTCATACTGTCACTTAATGCTGCTATTATTAGATTCTGTGTGTGTGTATGTGTGACCATCACTTTTCTGTTTTTTGTGCTAATCTTATCACAAGGGAACAACGAGGGGAGATAAAACAAAAAACATGAGTCTCTCTGTATATTTCAATGTTGATGTTGAAATATGTTCTTGTGAGCTGAAGCAGCCCTCGCAGTATGTTTTACCTAGATGTACGTAATTTTGTAGGCACATGTATCACTTAAAAAAGTCTCAACATGAAGTCACGTCAAGTGTATTTTTGACAATTTCCAGGCGCTGGACTGGAATGAACGCCTCCTAGAGGTGTAACATACCAACTTCTATCTAAAGACCTTTGTGATGAAAGGTTTTTCAGTAAAGTTATTGGTACTTGAAAGTTTTGATGAAATGTTCAAGTACGCTATGACTGACTTTAGTGAAGGGTCAATGATGAAATTATGTCCATGCAACTGTGAACAACTGTCAAATGTGGATCACAAACTCTGTGGTCGGATGTTTTGGTCAAAGATGACAAAAAAAGTTGTGAAAGAAATCTGACTTGCTGAACTTAAACATACAGTGTTAGGATATAACAGTATGAATTCCACAATCCAGGAAAAACCAGGACATCTCTTATGTAATACCTTTCACTTTCTCTGTCGTGTAAGGGGAACCTGAACACAGCTTACATAAGGCGGGTCTGTCAGTAAGATGTAGGGGAAAGGTCTCGACCGCCCACTGCTGATTCAAAGTCCTATAGTCTGCCGCTCCTTCTCTTCCCTCAAACCTGAAACCCCCCCTCTCTTTCTCTCTGCATGTTTTTCTATCTATCGATCTTATCCATAGATAAAGAACATGAAAAAAGGCATCAGCTCAATAGGAAAGAAAGACAGAGGGAAGGAAAGACAGGAGGAAAGATGTATAGAAAAAGGAAATGAGAAAAGAATGGTGGAAGTACAGGGGAAAAAATGACAGGATCTAGGACAGAAATAAAGAGGGGAGTGAGGAAGGAAGGAAGGAAAGACAGAAATAGGGAAGAAAGAAAGAATGGAGGGAACAAGGGAAGGAAGGACAGAGAGTGAAGGGGAAGAAGAAAGATGGAAAGAAGAAAACAAGGAAGGAATGAAGAACAAGTGTAAAGAAGAGGGAAAGAGACAAAAAGACAGGATGAAAAAATGAATGGATGAAAAGGTAAGGAAGAAAGACAGGATCTAGGAAAGAAATAAAGAACGAAGGAGGGAAGCGAGTAAGGAAGGGAAGCGAAGAAAGACAAAAGGAAGCAAACAAGGAGATGAAAAGGGAAAGAATGAAGGAAGCATGGAAAGGAAGAAGGACGATCTAGGAAATAAACAAAGAGCAAAGAAGAGAAGGGAGTAAGGAAGGGAAGGCAAAGAGAGAAGGAAATAAAGAAGGAAGGAAACAAGAAAAAGACGAAGGAAAGAATAAGGAAACAAGGAAAGGAAGGACAGAGAAAAGGTTGGAAAGAAATGGAATTAAAGAAAGAAAGGAAATAAAAGAAGTCAACATGCACATGTAGTTGTACCGTAACCTTATTGAATCACACTGAATGGTTCACTGGTGACAAATAGACTCTTCTCATGCAGAGACCCACCTGAAATCTGCTCTTCACCCTCTGATCAATAAACCGGCTACGACACACAAACTGCCGCTCTGCAGAATCCTTAAAGTCTCCGATAGATATCGTGCAGTAAATTAACCCAACATCTGCAGGTTCCCCTCTGAGGAGAACGACCAGCTCATGTGTAGGAGTGGCTTGTGTTTCTGCCAAAGAGTCAAGTGGCATCCAAGTCAAAAGGTCAGCAGCTGTTTACCTCACAAACACACAGCTTCTTCTTTTAGCTCCAGTGTGACCTACATTTGAGGTGGATGCAGTAGACCAAAGGTCACACCGATGGAAGTGGAGCTTCCCCTTCCATCGGCGGGACAGTGCAGACTTTTCTATTATCCCAGGATTATCAGTAATATATTATTCACAGCCTCGGCCCGGTTTAAGTGCAGTCCAGCTGCACCTGCAGAGCAGCCACCTCCTACAACAGCTTCCAAGTCACGATGTGAAACCTGTAGACACACTACGTGATAAAAAAAATAGTTTCTTCGTTATAGTTTTTAAATGCTAGCTCATGACAGTAAAGGAGTTCTGTAATCTCGAGAACCCGTTTTTTATAATAGCCTGCCATGATGTAATCCTGTGTTGTTGCTCTTTATACAACTCAAGAACAAAAAGTGACATGATTTGTACTTCATACTTCTTCCATCACTGCTCTTTTCCAACAAATCCAAATGCATATCTATTTGCTTTTAATGGTAATATCACTGACTGAAGTATTGATAATATCAGTTGTGCTAAAGTCGTATCGTTATTTTTCTGCAGGGAACAAACCAAACAGTGATTGGAAAGCTACCTAAGATTGAACTAACGTCTCACAACACTTGCTTCTGGTCTTGGCTGTTGAACAGAAGCTCTTTCTGCCTATCGGCAGAGCTCAACCTCACTCTCTAATCCACTTTCACTTCTTCTCAGTCTGACCGGTGTGAAGAAAGCTGCATGATTCACACAGAACAGCTCATCATCTTAAATATAATCTGACTTAGAATATTTTGATGAGATTTCTACTCGGCTGGTTTTCAGTGGAAGATGTCAGGTGGGGTCTGGTTGTGAACTATATATAAAAGGGCAGCATGACCTGCAGCTGTGAATGGTTGTTTCACTCCTTTGTTATGCAAGAGCAGACTTTGCCCTGCAGCCTGTGAAACAACAAGTCTATTAATCCCGACTACGGGATGAACGCCAAGGTGATATGCCTTGTCAGCAGACAGTTGAGCAATAAGGTCTTAGATGTGAGGGAGTTTACAAAAACAAGCTTTAATCCCCTGACCTCAGTGCAGGTTACCTACTACTGGATTACATCAAACTGTATCTCTGCACACATAATCATCAAGGCTTTACATGCTCCCCTCTGCAGAGTAAACGTGGCAAGTAAGTATACTTGACCTACTAGTTGCACTTTCTTTTTCCTTCTTACTTATGTTGGTCACTGGCATATGTCTCATACATCTCATATATCTTGAGATCCTGTTTTGTTATCGTTTCAATAAGTAAAATGAAAATATAAAAACTCTCATGAGGCAGAAAAAGAATAACCATATTTTTCTTCTCTTCTGAATTTGTAGCATTTTTTAATTTTGGGGGGATTGAATCACCCTTATAGATGTTATTTGAAATTTTGAAAATATATAATTATATATTATAAAATGTTGAATTGAATTAAAGTTATTCTTAAAGATATTGATATTCTTTGGTAAAATGTGTGAGAGACGAGATGGGGAAGAAACCGAGTTTGGAAATAAACATAAAACTTTAAACACCATATTCATTATGTCATAAAAATGACCAACCGTTTATGTCAGTATTCATAAAGGGTTTGACAATAACATATTTGGCCAAAAAAGCTCTTTAAATTTGAACTCCAACAACAGCAGAGAGACAGAGACTGTGGGTCAAACGTCAAGTTGTATTTACCCTGTTTACTCCGAAAGCAGACAGGAGGGAATGTAACACCCAGAGGGACACAGACACACACACACACACGCGCGCACACACACACACATTGATTAGAATAGAATAGAATAGAATAGAAACCCTTTTTATTGTCATATACATATACACATACACGAAATTTGACCTCTGCATTTGACCCATCAAATGCAGACCCATTGTCTGGGAAGCACTTTCCTTGACGTACATAAATGCACATTATCAAAAGTGTTCTTTAGCACTTGTCACAATCATATTATTTATAGATTCATAACATCATTGCTGATGTTGACATGTGCATTGTCCCTCTTTATTCCCAAACTGTTGGTCTGTTCCTTATAATCCACATATCACATTTCACATTTCTTATATTTTCTATATTAGTGACTTGCCGATCTTACTTTTTCAGTTCCGATACCAGGTATTTGGGTATCGATGTTGAGTACCGATCCGATACCCGTATGCCTCACTGTGTGGAAGTAACTGAGATTATTCTGTAATGTATAAGGCAACATCAGGCTGTAAACATTGCTTTTGTAACTCTGTAAAACAAAATGTAAACCATGAACATAAATGTACTGAATTGTTATTTTATTTAAATAATGATATCCAATACATGATCAGCCCATCGTCACTGATCCCCGATCCAGTTATTTGACTCAGAATCAGATCTATATTCGATATCACTATCGGTGCATCTCTGATTTTATATCTGTAGCACTTGTTCTTAACCTGAGGATCGAGACCTCCACAAGCTGTCACTAGATGAATTTTAGGGTTTACAAGATGATTAACAGATAAGGAAAGCAGAAAAAACATTTACGTTAAACTAAGTTATACTATTTGTTTTTTAGAGAAGACTGGACTTTGAGAGGAACTGTTGAAATACTGCTGGTGTATGAGCTGTGAAGAAGATATTTATACAATGAGTGTGTGTGTGCTGCCCCTCTCTGGACAAAGCCTAACATTGCAGCTGATAGTATTGACTTTATCGACAAGTAAGACATTTATTAAAGTAAAATGAGTTTGTTGAAAGCTTTACAAATCAATTTGTACAAGGCTGCTGGTGTATGTCTCTCTAAATGTTTTGAGGTTGTCGTGACTCAACATTTTTAGTTGGAGCTGTTAATCACATTTGCTTACTTTGATTTCACTCAGCACAAATGAAATGGAGACACTTTAGTTTGCCTCTTTGCGTAGCTTTTGATCACGTGATCCTCATCGGCGGATGTTGAGTGTCAGCCCGGTTGTCATGTAGTCACTTTTCCATTTTCAATGTTTATCTTTTGCCTCGATCAAACTCTCTCTGATGGTGAAGATCATGTGAAGTGATAAGAAGCTCCATAGCAGCTACTAAATGGATCTTTGGGTGAGATTGTTTTGTCAAGTGTTGTTTTAAAGGTTTAGCATGAACTTTCACATACAAAATAACTATTTGTATATTAATTACTCACCCAGTGTTACCTTGAATTCTTGAAGAAAACTTTGTTTTCTCACATGCCTCCAGAGTGAACAGAGGATCAAAAACTGAGCGAAACTATATCAAAACATCAGTTTCAAACTCTCACACAACTTGTGCAGTAAATCTCGTTTATCTAGTCGTATGCTCACTTCTGAAACACGTGCATCTTCTGCCACTATTGTCACACTTGCTGTTTTTTTTAGCAAAGATGCATGAGACATAGAATATACTGCATGAGTTGTGTGAGAGTTTGTAAACTGATGTTTTGATATAGATTTGCGGTGGTTAAACGCGGCCCCCATTTACTTCAATTCATCAAGACGTTTCAAAGTTTTCCTCAAGAATTCAAGGTAACGGGGGGAGTAACTGATATACAAATAGTCATTTTGAAGGTGAAGTATTCCTTCAAATGGTGACAAGAGGCAACATGAAGGATACGTTTAAAATTCACATTAATCTCAAACATTCAGCTGATACTAAATCTCATCGCATATGGCTTCTCATGGTTCTATATTCGATTCTATATTTCTCACTATTCGATCGAAAAGATAAAATTCATTAGCAGCTGTTTTATTAACTGCTTAATCTTTGAAGTCATTCTTTCTTGTACTGATGCCAATCTCCGGTTCCAGACTTGTTGCTGCTTTTCAAGCGTTAAAAACCCAAATTACCATATTTAAACATCTTTTTTTGTTCTACCAAGGGACCAAAACCCAAATAGAGTTTAGTTTATCACGGAAGACTAAACAAATCGGCAAATTGTGACATTGTACAAGCCAGAAGCAGAGAAATATTTACATTTTTGGTTTAATCTCCGCAAAATCATCAGATTAATCGATAATGAGAATAATCAATCGGCCTAGTGGACTGAATAAAGTACATCAGGCGTTGCATTTTTGCACATTGCAAACACACATTCAAAGTCTTTCTCCGCAAGAGCCTGTAAAATCCGTTTAGTTTCCGTTTAAGAGTCCTCAGTGAAAAGCTGTCGTGATCCCGGCTCCGTGTCGGCCTCTCTGTGGTGCTGAGGTTGTACTGCAGGTTGTGGAAGGTGGCGGTCATTCCATCTCGTAGGAGCTGCTGTCCAGTTTCACCTTGAGGGACTTAAAGTCTGGCCTGTCGTCAACCTTGGTGCTCCAACAGTTGAGCATAATTTTGTAGAGAGAGTCTGGACAATTGGGCGGAGCTGGCATCCTGTACCCGTTGGTAACTTGCTGGTATGTTTCCTGGTTGTTATATGCTGACAGGGAGCAAGGGATGGAGTTCAGAAGTGGTGACATAACATATGAATAAAGATGACGACCCCAAATCACAGAGTTTTGCACGGGACCAATATTGTCACATGACCTCTGTGTTTGGCGAAATATGGTAGGGTATTTGCTGTAGAATTTTCTTTTGACAAATTATGGAAATTGCTGATTTGCACGGGATTAAGATCACAGACGACCTCCGCAAATATTAGTAATTAATGCTAGTCCTGTTCAAACAGAGCTTACAGGAGACATAATGTGCTCATTCAGGTCCATGCTTGTAGTTTGGGTTTCTATTAGAACATGTTTCCATGAATATACATGTATACATGTATACAACCTACAATGCTTCTATTTAGCACCTGACTCTTTAAGCCCCCCTCCCGATAAAGCCCAGTTCGCTCTGATTGGTCAGCGTTTCCGGTCTTTCACATCTGGTCTTTCACAGCGTCACAGCAGCCGTCTCAACTACATGGAGTTAAGCGTCACTTCCAACAGTGACTATATAGTTGTAACATCCCCATTTATAGGGAAATTGGTTATTTATTTCATCATCTTCTGAAAACTCACATTCAATAAATATATTCAATCACTTTGGATGAACAGATGAAATTGGAAATAAGAATTGAACACTATCTATAGAACATGGGAAAATATTTTCCACAAGGACTTCGGTTTGATATTTTATTTTTGTTATAACCATGTATAATTGATTAAAAACTCTTATCCAAAGACTATTTAATTCCACCAACCTGGGTAAGGAGCGCCTCCATAGGTCAAAATCTCATAGAGCAAGACACCAAAAGACCAGACGTCTGACTTGTTGGAGAACTTCCCGTGGCTGATGGCCTCAGGAGCGCTCCACTTGTAGGGCATCTTTTTATCGTCTGTGATGTAGAACGGCTCCTGGATGAGGAGAAATCTTTGTCTTAAAACCCTGCAGCCTTGATTTGACTTCAAAAAGACATTTCCCTTCCTTCCTACCTTGATCACTCTGGCTAGTCCAAAGTCAGCCACCTTACAGATATAATGCTCCCCCACCAGGACATTTCGAGCTGCCAAATCTCTGTGGATGCTGTTCTGCTCCTCCAGGTATGACATCCCATCAGCCACCTGGGCACCCATGTCAATGAGTGATGCAATGTCTTGATTGTGCCCCTCTGGACCTGCAAAACGACAGAAATAGATTCGCACTGAGAATTACACCAAAGTGCATCTAGTGTCACTTTTAATTCTAAGTTCTAAATTCTAAGTTTAACATTCAAGTGCGTCTGATTGTATTTATCTATGTGGCAAAGTATGAATGCGCTTGAGGCCAATGTGTTGGTTGTGAGTGCCACTAACATCCAAACCTCCTCAAGGGAGTTAAGAGAGAGGAAAGGGACAAATGTAAGCCCAGGATTTAGGAAAGGAAGGAGAGGAGGTTTTCTACCTCTGAGGAAACTCAGCAGGCTGCCTTTCTCCATCAGCTCAGTGATGATGTAGTAAGGGGCTGAGGCTGTGCAGACAGCAAACAGAGAGATGAGGTGACGATGGCGTAGACTCTTCAGGATCTGAACTTCCCTCTGAAATTCATGGTGGTTCAACTCCGAGTCTGGGAAGAGAAAGAGACAGACGGAGAGAGAGAGAATGGGGGGAGAAAACAAAAACGGATCATATGTCACAGTCCCTGTAACATCCAACATCATAAAACTAGTTTTTGTGTAATTTGAGCCACTGTCTGCCACAAATCTTTGCATGCAAACTTTTGATTGAAAGTCGATAGTGATTTTGAGAATCTATCAGAAAACATGATCGAGATACTCAATTTTATCGATATTTTATTACACCCCTAATATCTTGTGTAATCTTAATTTTGTATAATGAAGTCTCTGGATTACCTTGAATTGGATTAATACATGTCTAACATTTGTTATTATGTTTCATTGATAATCAATTCATAAAGCAGTATCTCAACAGAGTTCCTCTTCCATGTATTAACATGTTTGTTTCAATGAGCTAATGACTCATTGTAGGACCCATGTTTTTGATTTGAGTTAAAGTGTAAAAGGCCTTTTAAGCACTGGGTGGTGTTTGTGGTTCAGCCAATTTAAGCTACTAAAGTATAGGACGTATGGTCACGACACTCATTACTCGGCTTATGAGCATGATTTATAAACTAATAGAAGGAAACTGACTACAAGTAAATCCTGTGTTTTATTAAATTTGAACAATATAGTCAGTGTTTACCTGTGTTACAAACTATTAATCATAAATATCTAGAATCATCTGCCCTGAGTTTCAGTCTACAGATACATTGTGAACAGTAATACCTGGAAATATGAGCTATTTACTTCCTGTTTTATACAATATTACTTTACAATGAGTCATCAGAGCTACTTGACAGACTGCACTTTGCGTCATACTTCTACAATAGCTCACCTGACTATTCCCATTTTACTTTTTGAAGTCGTTTGTTACACACAATTGATAAAAAACATGTATTGTGATTATTTTAACAATATGAATGTCAATGCTGCTTGAATTATGTGTCAGCAAAGAGAAGAATCACGGGGATTACCGTGATTGATCTCTCGTTATTCTTGTTCTGTCTCTCATCAGTTTTACTGACATGTATTACTCGAATGTTATCGAAAATGCATGTTTGCATTCTTAGACAACACAGGGAGGAAAACAGGCACTCTTTACCAGCAGTAGTGGAAAGTAAATAAGTTAATGTACTTAAGTACAATTTTGAGGTACTTGAGTATTTCAATTTCATGCTACTTCATACCTTTCAGAGGGAAATCTTTTTCTTTTTACTTTATTACATTTATCTGACAGGTATAGTTACTTTTCAGATGAAGATTTTTTTAACATATGATAAACTTATACAACACATCGTTAAAGATTACACAAGATAACCAGAATCAATGTCTATTCCAGGCCTCTGGAATAGACATGTTTATGTTTCAGATGTGTATGATTGGAGAAAAAGTCGATAAAATGTAAACCAAATTTGTCACAGCCCTTCAGATTTATCTCGTGAGCTTTTGGAGGTACCCGACCCCAAACTGGAGACCACTGGTTCCCCAGTACCGTACTATAAATAACATATAGCAGTACAAACCTTGAGCCGCCGCAACAGTAAAATCTTGCCTACACATAGATGCATCAGTATTAATAATTGTAATGCTTTTACTTTTGATTTATCAGGTACATTTAGCTTATACTTAGGTACTTTTAGATACAATTTTAAATGCAGCACTTTTATTATATTGTTTTATTTGTGCTTTTGTAGTAGTTAGAATAATCAGAGCTTTTGCCAAACAGCTCCTCATGATCAAAAATCCATCTATTAAATAAAGCTTCATTAGATCAACAAAGATGATGAAATACCACTTTTGATGATCTTGATGGCGACATTAATGTGATTTTTCCAGCGTCCCCGGTAGACTTCAGCGAAGCATCCAGTGCCCAGCTTCTCCTCCAGGGTGAACTCATCTTTCGGGAGCTCCCACTCATCCACTGTAAAGTGATTCAAATCTGGGGTGGTGGGCTTTTTCTGAAGGAGGAAGCACACGTGGACATACTTGTATCTAATAAAGGGACACAGATACAGTACATACATTCTCATCCATACATGTGGGCTTCGGGTTAAATTAGTATCTTATGATCAATCTTTGATTTTTTTTTTTTCCATCACTGCAAAATGTGGAAATGTGATATATGTAAAATATATCTGTAAGGTTTGATGCCCCAACTAATTTTTTAATTTTTAAGTATTTGACAATTATTTTCTTGATGAATTGTTTAGTCTGTAAAATGTCCACAGGATTTGTTTTCATAAATAAGAAATAAGGTCGATAAACAAACAAGCAAAGAGATGGAAACAAAACCAACAGAGCCTGTCCTACCCTCTTGCACGGGTTTCCCAGTGTGACGGTGTTGTTCAGGCTGTTGGCGCTGTAGAACTCCACCAAGTCGATCAGAGAGCTAAATCGGTGGTTGTACGCCACGTGAAAAGAACCGTCGTCTGTTTTGAGGACCTTGAAATGCTTGACCTGAGTGCTTGACCTCACTGCGGAGAGATTCACACACAGACAAAGTCAAAATCAAGCCCATGATAGCATTTTTGAGTTCTCTTAATATTTGTTACCAAAGTATTGTAGTTTGAGCTTAGAAAAAATAGATTTTCAAAGAAATGTAAAATACCAGATGTAAAATACCAAGGGAAAATAAGTTAGTTAATGAGTGAGCTTTAGATATGCCTGTTTGAAATTGACCAGACTAGTTGTTTCTGTTTTCAGTCTTTGTCTGGAACAAAGCTACCTTCTGCTTTTGAGAGGGGTGAAGCAATATTCTAATCCTGACTTCCCATCATGATTGTGTGAATATGAACGGCTTCCATTCCTCCCTTCCAACAAGCTACAGCCTCATGAGACCGACTGTTTCCCCTTTATTTCACTCAATACTTCCAGCACATGTCATTCTCTTGACAAACACACCCTGCACTGTTTTTTTTTAACTGAAGTGGAACTCCCCTCCCCTCCCTCACTCTATTTCAAACCATTGCCACCACGCAGCTCTTGTTCTCTTTTTTGGGCTTCCTCTGTCACTCCTCTCCTTCTTATCTTACCCGAAAGAACGTGTCCAACGTTGTCTTTCTCACTTTGTCGGATGAGGAAAGCTCCGTGGGCATTTCCTGATCCCAGCAGGTGGCCTTGGGCCTCGAAGCGGTTCATTTTCCCAAAATACCACCTAGATCAAGACAGACAGAATGAAAAAATGAAATATGAAATTATTAGGAAACCCTTTGATAATCAGTCTGTTTACGAGAACTGGCAACAGTTTTTGTTAACAAAACAGTATCTGATATGACAACAACATATCCCTGTAAACATCCGGGGATCTGTTTTTCATTTTTCAAGGTATACCTTTAGTGGTAAGAGTATCTAAACACAGTACGCAGTACAGTACACAAAACAAATAAAGCTTTCTGCCTGGCGTAATCATCTAAAATGGTCTTAATATGTCAATAATATTGTTCATCGCATTCATTTCTGTGACGATACATCATCCAACCAAAGGACTTATTGTGACAGTAATAAAATAATAATATAATTCAAGTAACTCAGTATCTATATTTCATTTCAGCCTTCCAGCAGGTGTTGACATGTGGGAAAAACTTCACATTACACACTTCCCATTCTGTTGAAGCAAAAAACAGAGAGAGAGAGAAAGAAAACAAGAAGTGGTGAGGCTGACTGCCGAAGTGTTTACGTCACAGTTTGCTTCACTGCTAGAAGACACAGACATGGCACTGACATTATGAAAGGTGCTTTGACATTTCTCAGAATGTTAACTGAAAACAGAGGTTTGAAAGGGTTTATGCAATCCAGACAAAGAAGTGACGATGTAATTCTTCACGATATAAAGTTGAGGCTGTATGAATTCCCACTTGGAGACTAAAGGAAATAGATGAGTGGCATCAAAAGGTGGCAGGTTATGGAAGAATGTACTCCACACACACTAGATGAAAATATTACATTTGTGAGGAAGAGTGATGGCTGACATTTGTTGAATGTTCAAGTTTTATAGGAAGCTTTTGCTTGTTTTAGGTATTCTGTAGATGAAGAAATGGCATCAAATTACAGTTTTGCTAGAATATAATTTGCATACACATTATTTCACAGAAAATATGTGTTTCAGGCCCAGAATGGACTCTTCCTCAGGTAGGCTATACCTCAGCTTGAAATGTTGTAGGCTTCTTTCAGATACAATAAGATAGATATTATGTTTAAACAATAGCAATCCATTACCAAAGAGCTGCAGTAAATCATGCATTTGTTAAGTGTATAATTGTAAACTGTCTGACTGAGAATATGTGTTCTGTGTATGGCCATACTTCACAATGCTTCCTGTTGACTAGAATGTCTTACATGCCGAGAGGCTTGTAATCGATATCTTGTTTCATGACCTTCGCCCCATTATTATGTTGTTAGAATGTAAACACATTGCCCGATTGTTAAGCCCATGATTTTTATTGTTGGGATTAATTCCCGTTATATGTGCCAAACTGAACGTGCATAGCAAATCAAATGTACAGTAAATTACGAATTAGGAAGGTCTGCTGAATCAGAAATGTAATGTGCTAAAAGTTAAAGAGCAGTCTGTTTCCGAAAGTATTAAGAAGAAGTGAACCACCCACTGTTGCATCTGTAGGGACTCGGCCCGCTCCAGGTAGTTTTGGGGCACGATCCCGGTCTCCAGGACGCGCCCGTTCGTCTCGATCTTGCGCGCGGTCCACCAGTCTCCGCTGCGGTTGATAACGCTGAACAGATCTCCCTCCTGGAACGACAGCTCATCCGGGTGCCGGGATTCAAACTGCCAGAGCGCCTTGTAGACGGAGCCGCCCTGGGGCACTGTGTCCGACGGGGCGATTGCAATCGGTGGTCTCTCCACACTGGAGCCGTCATTGCTGCTGTCTACCTCACCACCACCTCCCCCACCTTCTCCTCCTCCACCACGTCCTCCATCTTCTGCTCCAGGAGGAGGCTTTTTATCGTTGAAAATCCTCTGCCATAGCGCGTCCAGACATGGGCAAGCTTTTCGAAGACACTCGCCCATTGATTACCTTGATTAGCTCTCTCTTACCGGCTCCTTGTGCCTCAGAGAGCCTCAAAGCGCGTCAGCCAGCTACACCTGTTGGACAGGTAGAGAGGACGGAGCGCAAGGAATCCTCGGAATGCCTCTACAGGGAACACTGCTGCTTCTGGTGTTGTCCTGTCGAGAGCGTGACTAACTGCACTCAAGGGACTGACTGCAACTTCCTTATGCCAGGCAATAATAAAAATCACGAGAACCCCGCCCACATTATCTAAAAAAACGCGTCATAAATCTTACTGCTGGTTATCGATGGTCCAGAAAGATACCGGTAGACTATGGTGTTGATAGATTACCTAACCACCACATATCCATCTATTCAAATAACTACATTCAAATAACTACATTCACCTAACTAACACTTTTATACAGTTTACGGTACTTTTACTTGAGTTATTCAGAGGCAAATACTTGTTTTCTTAAAACGTACCCAAACTAATTTACTTTCTAGTTATTTAGTACATTTGGATTAACAGGGGTGGATCTAGAGATATATATATTCATAGGGTGGCATGGAGACATTAGAAATGACAGAAATATAGAAATCTAGATAATATATCAATATTTGTATTATTAGTCATGGGTCTTTGGAATCGCCAAGTACTTGAATGTAAAGACTTGTACTTGGTCTGAAAAAAGAGGTATTGGTTCATCCTTACCACCATAGAATCAGATATTTCTCAAATGAGAAGCCAGAAGCCCACATAAAGCCTACTTTATCTTCTCTCTGTGTTAGTTCAGACAAGATGTTGTAACAATGGGAGGAGGGAGTGATGACACATTCGGGCACCACATTGGCAGACAACAGAGCTGTGCATACTTCTGTTGCCCGCCTTAATTCAGAGATCACTGCCAGTAAAATCTTGGCGGAACTAAAAACCACTAAGAAGTTCTTGGAATACCTCATTTATTATGCATTTATTTCCACTTCATTTGATCTGATTCTGAAAGTTTTGACAGCATCTGCTGCCAAGATCTGTAACCTGCCTTGCTGACCTGAGACATAAGGGCCATCATTTTTTAGGTTAAAGGTTGACTATTTAACTTTGTAATAGACTCTAATAGCTCCAACAAATCCCAAACAGAGCTGGTCTGTGCTTACTTACAGTAACTTAAAGCCACGGCTGTTTAGTTTATAGCAAACCACAATGTACAGTATGCTTTAAAAATAATTTGTCAGTAATGCAAAATATAAAACCTGCTAAACCACCGATATGGGCCTTTAAAGATAATCTTAAGCATTTTTAGAAGTATGTCTTGTTTCGACCCGTATTCTCAGGTAACTCGTCTTCTTGTTTGACCGTTTTACTTTACTAAAATGTTTTGAATAGTTTTTGTTACCGAGTATCTGTAGCAATGGTACTTCACTAAAATAGAGAATTAAGCCCATTTCCCTCAACAGCGCACTATAAAAGTTTTTTTTGTCATTCAGTGGATTGACATTTGCACTGTATAGTCGCCACCTTTTAAGGGGTTTCATTTCCCCAAGAACACTTAGTGTTAGTGTGACGTATTCCTTTATTCATTCCACATCTGTACTGTACTTCTTCGGTGTATATGCAAGCACATGACAAAGACACCAGATGTTATGATAGAAACAGACACATCTCAAAACAATAGTTAAAATATTTTATTCTTTGCACTACTGGTGTTTGGTACCTGATGGCAGTCAGCCTAAAACATACAACTCAATCTTGTGATTTGGTGATTATGGCTAAAGTTCCCTGAACTTGGCTTTGTGTGCTGTATATGGTCATGCATAAAAGACAAAAGTTGCATTGTTCTCAAATTGCATTGCAGCAATGTTGTACAATTTTGTAGTGTAGAAACCCCCATCCTCCCCAAAAAAGGGCCTTCTGTATATGGCCGATTCACTGTGCAGGTCTTTTTTCCTCATTCATTTTTGTGTTCTCTGTGGTGTGGACAGTCTGTGGTGTAAACATAGTCACTCTCGTTGTAACTGGCCTCTGTGGGCCTCTCAAAGAGGGTTAATAACTTAGATCCTATACACATGGCTCGATGGCCCACTGGCTTTTCAAGCACCAGGTCACCTGGCAAAAAAATTGTCATAGGACGATAAAGACAATCCCCATACTATTCTGGAGAAACTTGTATTCAGGTTCATTAGATATGCAACATGTCGCCAAAAACTTCTGAAATGCCTGCAAAAGAAGGTAGGCTGAATAAAATACTTTATTCTCGTGGTTAATACGACTGACAGTGTTTAGCCATGCTAGAGGCCCCATGAGGCCAGAAAAACTGGTGGATGTATTAAAAATGGAGTGAAAAATCTAGATGCTTACATTTAATGGGGTATAAAATGTTAACTTTGTCCTGGGCCTTTTTGTCACATAAATCAAATGGGCTGTCCTCTGAACAGAGGCCATTTCAGAACATCTCAAACTTGACTGGCTTTTATCAGCCTCAGCTGTACTGTGCTCATCTCATCTGTCTTGAGCTCAATCCTGATACTCTTAACGTGCAAATGATTGGCAATGTTTTTGTGTAGTGTGTTACTTGTTGATAAGTTTTGCATATATGTTAATTGTCAAGCTAACAAGCTAACATTAGCAAGTTACTGTGGAAACATCTTTGCATTCTAAGCTGCTGCAGGGATGACAAATCTTTTTTTAGGTTTACCCAGAAGTTAGAATCGTTGTGGTTCCCTCAACAAAAGGCTAATGGGATATTTCCATTCGATTTTGAATTAATGCAAAAACTTTGTTAGCTCTGTGGCTAACAAAGTTTTTAGTACCTACACGTTTTGTCAGCAAGGTAAAATTAATATCACTTTTATGATTTTTGAACCAAAAATGCAATCCACAGAAGTAAAAGCTAACGTCAATTAACAAGCTCCACCACGATAGCATGACTTTAACTACACCACCACTAAGATTCCAACTTGATATTTGACTTCACGTTGGCAGCCGCCGCTTGAGAGGCACGGAAAAGCTTCAAAATGATGGTATGTACTTATTTATTTCAAGGATCTAACCAAAAACCCATTTAAAAAAAAAAACACCACTGCCTTTGAGAAACCGTAAGTGCAAAAATGTTAACTCATTTCCCGGTTTTAGGACTCATTCCTGCAGCACTTTATGTTTCAACATTGTGGGAAATACGCTCATTCCCTTTACTTTCTTAGGACTCAGATAAAAAGATCAAGACTGCTATATTTGGATTTTTACTCCCATGCCATATGTACAATGAAAGAGTTATTGGTGGCTGTAATCATTCAGAAATACCTATCCTACTCTTTAACCTGAAAGGTCAGCTGAAGCTGATGGAAGTCTGGGAATTAGTTTAAAATAAGATTGACTTGACTATGGCGCTAAATAAAAAGTCACGTGATCAACAAAATTGTTCATCTGTTGGGAAATGCAAAGGTTTGAACCAAATATCATGGCAAGGAGTGGTGAGATATTTCCCTTCAGACAAAAGTGTTGGACTAACGGAGCGATCCACATCAGTGTCCCTAGCGTGGCTAAAAACCAAGCCAGCTGTAAGTATTGCACATAACCCCAATATTTAGCACTGGCTTGCAGTCAAAAGACAGGTGATTAAAGTCCTGACCTGTGATTTCATAACATTTTTAAGTGTGCACACACAGACATGGCACATACAGAGGTAATAAAATATTATTTATAAAACACAAAAGGGTATAAAATTAAAAACCGTGTGTTCTGTGAATGTGCTGAGGGTCTTAGTGTTCAGATTTATTTTTAGGTCGGTGTGTATTTACACATTTCTGTGGCTACTGTCCGCCTTACGTTCTTTTAGCCTATGAAATGAAGTGTTCCTAATTTGTCTTCTTTGATTTGGCGAGCATCTTCTCCATCTTGAACAATTCACTTCCGTTTGTCCACTTTTGATGCTCTTCTCCCTCGTTTGGACCTTTGTGTTCTTAAAATACATATACCCTGTTGTGGAAGTGCATTGCACGGGGGAGGAGAATACTCCGTGCTATTTTTTATCCCCCTCTCCTTCCATATTTAATGTCCATCCTGCTGCTGATGATCTGCTGCAGATAATCTGCCCCCACCGTCCTCTTCTTCCCCTACGACTTGCTCTTTCTACACCTCTATAGTCTTGAAGTATATCCTGGCATATATTGTATCCAACTGGCTGTGCAGGGCATGGAAGGAGGGTCTCTTGGAGGGCTCAGCGGCCCAGCAGTCCATCATGATGCGATAAATATTCTGAGGACAGCGGGTTGGGCATGGCAGCCGAAACCCAGATGACAGCAGATCCAACACTTCCTTGTTGCTTTTTCCTAAAGGGGGAGTGACAAAGCATTAGAGTTGAAGGAGTTTACTAATTCCTTCACGTTTTATTTTGCAGGCAGGAATATTCCACTGTGCCGATATGCAGTAACCACAGCTATGACATCAGGAATCGCTGCAACACCTCATCTTTGAAAGGTAAAGTCAACATGACTCAGCATATTGAATCAAATGTATAATTTAGATTTTAAAAAGGCTAAATAATTGTCACTGTAGTTTTTAAATCAAACAAACATGAGGAAACCGTGCATTTGTTGGGGACTATTTTCAGCTGCGGATTAATCCACATTTGGTGCTCGAGTGAGTATTTGGGGGAGCAGGACAGTGTGTGTGGGATTGAGTCAAAATATACGACGGTGTGTGTGGTCATTGTAATAAAGGAACATGTCACCCAATGCAACAGTGCATCATTGATGTGTTTTTAATAGTTTTTTGGACAATGCAGCTGCTAATAATTAGTCACAAACAAATGCACTATTTCCTTCTTTTAGTGTAACGTTAGATGACCGCCCAGCAGTTTATAGAATCTTTTTTTTGCCTTTTTTTAAATCAAATTCTTACAAATTTACAACGTTGTGCTGATCCTTCTTTACATACTTTCCAAATTGTTATCTTCAGTTTATCCGTTCTTACTCTGCTTTTTATGGGATTTGTTGACAATGAGTAAAATACAGAATATCGCCAGCCTGACAGCTTTTTGGATAATAACAAATATAACTGATTCAAACTGTAATTTTCAAAATACATTATTCTACTGTATTAACTAACGTCACAATACAAACATCTTCACAGTTAAATTACCTAAGAAGCTCAGAAGGGTGTAACCACACATGGGAAACACCCAGTACCTCCTAGTATTTTAGAACCGTACGTCCATTGTGTAACTGGGAGTTGTGCATACATAAAACACTTTCCCAATGATTAATAAACAGGTTACAACACTAGAATTAAATTGCTTAACAGCCCTCTAGTTAATATAGCTCTAATTCTCCATAACAAAGTAGAAAGCAGTCAACACTGTACCATCATAAGGCATCTTGCCACGTGACATCATCTCATACAGTAGGACCCCGAATGACCAGACATCGGATTTTACGGAGAACTTCTGGTAAATTGCCGCTTCTGGCGCCGTCCATCTCACTGGGATCTTTGTGTTTCGACTGGCTGTATACACACTGTCCTGTAGAGAAAAATAGTAAAGAGTTAACAAAATATATATACAGTATACACACGCTTTTACTGAAACAGACATTAAGCCTTTGTGTTCCTCAGATTCAGTACTATATTTCCCTTGAATCCCCAACAGTGTTATTTTAAATGATTCCTTCTAAACCAAGCCCCCAGGAAAAGCACCGGGCTTTGAAGCCAATTAGACATCTATAAATCAAGGGTATTAACTGTCGAGTAGGAACACTTAAATATCCCTAATTTAAATCTCTATGTCCTAAAAGTTGTAAAATATACTTATCGCCGAATCTTTTTTCCCCCCTTAATTCGTGCTGGCATTGTGTCATGTGAGCAAGCGGTTTGGAGGAGGGGTTAAAGGAAATGCTTGTGCGCTTGCTCTATGAGGCCCCACAAATGCCTAAGATCCGGGTAACTATACACCGAATCAAACTGTTTTGGCTTTATGCGCCAGGGAGTCCGAGTAAAATGTCTAATCTGAAAACGGTCTATTGCTTTAAGAAAAGAAAGGAAAAAAAAAAAAAAGACTTCAATAAACATGTTCCAAATTTGATCACTAAACTATTCATACTACAGCAAAGGTGACGTTCAAAAGCACACTTTGAACTTCGTGTCACTCTATTGTTCATAAACAGCTCATTAGCTGAGTAAAATTATCTTGGTGACTGCTCTAATAGTGTCGTGTTACAGCAGTACATAGATTATGTAATGATGCAGATGGTAAATGTGTCTCTTGATGTGTAATACTTCTGCCTGCAGATGACATAAATTTACTCTATTTTAGCCACAAAAAAAACAAGGTAAAAGACCAGACTAGCAGAGACTTTCTTCCTGGAGAATCCATTTATTTACAGTAAATATCTTTGTCTCTCAAGTAATGATGTACTACTGTTTAAATATTACACACACAATCTTTATGCGATATCTTTCTGAGCTGATATAAAATCTTTCCATGTCTCGGAAGCTCTCTATGAATAAAACATTCTGTTATTATAACACACAAACAAAGTCAATTGTGCAAATTTGAGTGCGGCTCCATTATACCGGACAGATGGTTGGAGGATGGAGGCACACATTAAGTTTACATGAGTTTACACTGGAACAACAAGGCACACTATACATATTTAAAGAGAACACGGATAAAGAATTAGTGTTATTCTAAAATAAGAAAATGGTTCTTGACTGATGCTCAACAAACATAAACCCTGTGCTTCATACTACGAGTTAGTCATCTCTCTTTTCAGACATGCAACCTTACTTACCTTAATAATCCGAGCCAGTCCGAAGTCGGCCACCTTGCAGACCAGATCGTCTCCCACCAGGACGTTTCTGGCAGCTAGGTCCCTGTGGACGATGTTTCTGTCCTCCAGGTAGGCCATGCCCTCTGCGATCTGACTGCCCATGTAGATCAGATGAGCTGATGTCAGCACCTGGCCTTCAGCAGCTGAAAACACACACAAACACAAACTGTCAGCTAAACTGGTGAAAAGCATGGATTTGTTTCCGATAACCCAAAACAATCAATGAGTTCTGAGAGAGGCACTAAAGCAGTATTTAAAAACACTTTACTACTAAACACTTTTTACGTCAAACAATGACACTAAATCCACCTTTTGGAGTTAGTAAATTGTATGTAAAGTCTCTTTTTTCTATTATCTATTGATCCTGGCCCAAGTTTACAACAGTAGTTGTTATTCTGCCTTGTAAATCTATGACGTTACTACAAGGCAATGTCACCCTCGTCTCCCCAAACAAAACTCAACCAAAATTCATCCATGGTCTGTGTGGGTTTTGTTTTGATTGTTTGTTTATTGTGGTATTACATTACATGTCTCATCACATCAAACAGTTTAGGAGCCTGATGTAAGAATCTGCACTGTAAATGAGTGGTGCATGTTTTCCTCTTGTTGTGCAGCGTGAGCGACTCTACATGACTCATAAATCTAAATGTTAATTGCTGTGCAGATCAGCAAATAGATAAAATGTAAGTACAGTCCTGACATGCTGACACACACACACACACAGCATGAAAATTAAAAAAAAACTACCGAAGGCAAGTTGTCCTTTTGTTCACTGTCGTTTATGCTTCTTTCACGTCATTAATTTGGCTTTACACTCATAGTCATCGTAACAGCCATGTCTTCTCAACCTCCTCTCCACACATCTTCCCACATTGTCGCCACTGGAATGAGGCACATCAGAGTCAAATCCTTCATTCTGCTCGCTAAGACTCTCTGTGATTAAAGCCTTTTGTAAAACGTCAGAACCATATTTCTATGCCGAGCAGAGCTGCCAGATTATAATTCCATTTGCTTTGGATTTTTAAGAGGGAGAGATTTAACCGTCACTTGGCCTAAATACTGCTTCAGAGGGCTTTCAAAAGTCTTGAGTTAAGGGTTGAATTTCTTAAACCCCAAGAAAAGCTAAATTAACTCCCTGTTCTAAACCTCTTTGCATATTAAAGCAACAGTGGAGTCTCAGGAAGCCGTCGTGTGGCGTTTAGAAACAGGAAATGAACCACCTTGTTGAGGAATTGATTCACCATCAGATTTGTGTAGAAGTGCTGACATATTTAAAATATTAGACATTTTATCAACTGTTTTTTTAAATTATGTTTTTATGGAGATAGTTAAATATGCACCAAACATTTTTCATTTTATGACTCCGGCTCAGGTTATCTGTGCAACCCAAGCCTGTGTGCGTGTGCGTGTGTGTTTCAGCACTCACAGGCGAGGTAGGACTTGAGGCTTCCTTTTTTCATGAGTTCGGTCACGATGTAGACCGGCTCTCCTCTGGAGCACATGGCCAACAGCTGGATCAGCTTGGGGTGATGGAGGCTCTTCAAGGCCTGAACCTCCTTCACAAACTCATCCTGCTTTGTGTCCTCTGGAGGAGTAGAAACATAAATGATGAGAAATTGATACTTTATTTGATGATCTTGGTTGTCCTTTTGTTCACGGTCGTTTATGCTTCTTTCACGTCATTCATTTGGCTTTACATTCATAGCCATCTTAACAACCATGTCTTCTCAACCACCTCTTCTCCACACATCTTCCCACATTTCTCCAAATTGTCCCCATTTCCACAAATACAATTTAAGAAGCTTTTCTGCATTTAATAACCTTCACTTCTTTCTCTATGCTTCATGTATAACTTAATCCATCCTTCATTACACTTATCACAGCTTTCTGTCACAATCAGCTTTTTGTAAACCCTTTAAACCCCAGAGATATTTCTAACATGAGCTTCAATCACATGCTTTATACTCTGAACAGTATCCTGCATTTGTACCTTGTTTCAGCGTCTTTATGGCCACTTTCTTGTTCTCTGTGGTCCACAGAGCCTCCCACACCTCTCCAAAGTGTCCCTCTCCCAGTTTCTTGTGGAGTCTGAACTCCTCTCGAGGTCTCTCCCATGGCTCCATGTCAAACAGCTCCCGCTGCACAGAGACAACAGGGTGAGTCCAAGCTTTAGAGTCAAAACTGTTTAAAATAAGTGTGCAGATGATGCCGCAGAGGCACAAACAATTGCAAACCAAATGTGCAACTCAATTGTTATTACAAATTTTCCAACACAGAAGGATTATGCATTTGAACTCGTTTAACCCGAGCCATCAGCCTGAGTTTAATTCCCTCCTGATGCAAAAAGGTTCTGATGTGATTCAAAATGTTCTTCTCGTATAAATATTTTCTAATTTAACAATGGGGAAAAAAGGAGACTGTACCATGATCCCAGATTAGTGTTCTCTTGTTTCAGTTTGGATGGTGTGGTGGAAAAAAAACTATTTAATGTGTGAGTGAGTCCTAAATTAAGAAACATCGAGAAAAGAAGCTCGTCTTTAAAGTAGTTATTCTCTGCGCAGAGAAGGTTCAATACAGATCATACAGGATGCAATGCAGTCTGAAGGAGGAAGGAACCCAGAGTGTTGGTTGTGTACCACTTATAAAGGCCTTGAGCACATGGTGAGGTAGGAGGAGTCACCACTAGGACATCTGGACAAGTGACCATTCAGTGATTAACCATTGAATGGTCCACTGATTGCATCCCCATTCAGTCCCTTATCTAAGCTGACAATATCATGCCCCTGATTAAGACACACATGCAGTATTACTCAACCTGAGAGGATCCTCACTGACCATGTCTGACATTCACTAACCTTGTTTATAACTGGGGTTTTATCTCACAACACAAAAAGGGCCAAAACACCGAGTGGTCTGACTATAAAAACAGAGATAAGTCACAGTGGAAATCTGCCACCACAATGGAGATGCAGATGTGTTGACATATCAGCAGCATTGGGAAAGGTAAGTGAAAAACAAATTAATGATTGAAAGAATGAAAAAATGAATGAACAATAGGCTTAATAAATGGCAAGTAAATTCAAAGATGTTATCACAAATTTATTGTAAGTAACAATCAGGTGATGAAGAACATATTGTTCAAATGATCAAGTGAACATAAAATGAAATAAAACAGATCACTGAAATGATTGGTTAAAAACACATGAATAATAAATTAAATGACAAATCGTCATCGTTAACATATAAATAAGACACTAATAAATCAACTTGAGTTTATATTAAAAAAATACATTCAAATGTTGATCAGGAGATACACAAAGCAACTTGTTTCTTTAGCATTGTTGCTTTAATGTGCACATGTTTACACACATTCTGTTGCCTCGTGTAATGCCTGGTCTACGTAGTGCAAAACAAACGGAAATGAAGGAGGACATTTAAATTGAAATAAACAACATTCCGGTTCATTCTGCGGATACATATTTTACTTTATACAGCAAAAGAGTTTTTTAGTTGTTTTAAAGACCATGAAAATTATATCTATCATTTGTTTCCACATCATAATTATATGAAAAAGGTCAGGCAGATTGTTTTGTTAATCCGTTAAATTGAAATGTCTCCATTTATAATTAATTATGCATGACATAATCTCACTAATGGCCTCTAAAGTGACAAATGTAACCACTTGGGCTTTACAGTCAGTTGGGCAGTTTATTGGGCATTTAAACAGCAGGATGAATCTGCTGTTAGAAACTAAACGCTATCAGAGGAATCAGACATTTCCTCAATACCATGCTTAATCAGTTGTTATTGACCATGTTCCCATGCTGCATAATTACAGAAAACAAGATCTTGTGCTCCGCCAAGTCAATAAAAAGTGATTGAAAGCATCGTTGGCGACTCGTTTTACTGGTAAAACATTTAACTGATGGAGCATTTAAATCCAAATGTGAGTGTTTCTTTTGTAAAAGCAGATTTATTATTGTGTTTGAAGGACTGATTGATCCACTGGACGGTGTTTGAGTCCAGTGATGCTGCCGAAGGGCGGCTGTGAAAACACTTCAAGAACGTCTTTGTATAAAAAAAAAAAAAAAAGTGAGCCTATTTATAAATGCAATATTTTGGATTCAAAACTGAAAACAAAAATGTTTTGGCAGCCTGGAGGTGTACAACTCCTCATACACTTTAAGTTATGAATAGTTGTGTTTAATTGTGGTTTAGAGCTTGATGCATCTCCAGCTCACTGCTCACGGTTTGAAACCCAAATATAAATGTGTTTCATTCCAAATAACAAAAGTTAGCTGGTGGAACGATATTTGGGCGTTTCACGGTGCTACAACAAATTCATCGAGTGGACCTTTAAAATGTTAAAACATCTTTCTTGAATCACATCGCCAGGTTCAAGAGTCGATGACGACATGCTCACCAATCAACAAAGACAAGATGATGTTTACTGTTTTAAAATCTATAAAAAGATAATTAAATATTAAAGTAAAAAATATAATTAAAGTAAAAAATATAATTAAAGAAAATAAAAAGTAAAGCAAAAAAATGTGAAAGTGGTGAGTACATTTTTCACTAGTTTGTGTTTGTTGTTGAAAGTATTTGTGTTGATTATGTGTGCTGTAATTGCAAGTGCTCAAGTATGCATAAGATGCGTGTGTTTCTGCCTCAGTGTGTCCGTGGCCTCAGACTCACAGCCTCTTCTGGAAGGGAAGAGAGAAGAGGAGGTGTCACTGAGTGGGCTCTGACCCAGAAGGAAAATGTATTTTATGTTCTAACACACTTTTTTGTCCATGTAGTAAAACCACACCATTGACATCTTAAATATCTGTAAATGGTCATATTGCCTTATCCAAAATCAACATTTTGTATTTCTAATCTGATTCTCTCCAAAATGTAACGAGTGGCTGTTTTGAATCGGTGGTTTCTCAGTCTGTAGTGAAAATGTCGTCTCCCGCCAGGCTCAAACTGATGAGCCATGAATAAAGGATACTCGCTGGGGGTTCAACGTAAGCTGCAGTGCAGAGATAGCGTGAGTAATTACAGCGATGCTGCATGACTTTATTCTCTGGTTAATTACACTCCAAAATATGTTTGCCTCTTATTAATTCATGCATATAGAGCACGGGACAGCACTTGTTAAATTCCCGCTGCAGAGCAACAATAGAAAGATGAATTCAGGGTCTTTGTTATAGATTGCTCCTGCAGAGACAAAAGATGCTGATTAAAAACGAGAGCATTTGCTGCCTGAAGTAGACTTTTACCTCTTGAATTATCAGCATGAGTGGGAACTGTTATTAGGCATTATTGGCTGCTGGTTGTCACTGTGAAATACTACAAAAACAGCTCTCCAGCTCTTTCTAACTTTAATTGTATCAATAAAAAAAAGTTAGAGGAAAGTATCTTTCTAATAAATGAAGAAAGTTGTTTGTCGTCCTTTTGTTGTTCGGACCTACAATTAACATATATTCAAACCAGACGGTGAACCACAAAACTAATCAAGTATAACACTAGAGTTTATCTTGTGATCTGTCTTCACTCTGGGAGAATAATCAGATCAGTCCAAACAGCTGCAGCGTCCAATCAAATAACTGATAAGCAATGAGGGGGCATGTCGGCTGCTAAAACATTTCCTGGAAGGCTGCTCTCGTACATCCTCGCTCATGGCTCCTCAAAGATCCCTCCTCGCTCCTCAGAGCAGAAACAAGAGCTTTCCGACGGCCGTCAGAATGGCGGCGCAGAACAACTTCCGTTTCAAGTGAGGAAATGACTTGGGATGTCGACAATTACTTTTTATGAATTTTCTCAACATACTATCCTATGACTTTGAATGAATTAGCCGAACAGTTGTATTAACGTCTGTATGTAGTCCACAACTGACTGTCATTTAAAATATAGAAAGTGCCGTTAAATAATATCTCAACAATATTTATTGTCAGTTTTTAAATTGAGCCAGATGAATTATAACTAACACACACACACACACAATAAATAAATTATCTTTTCTTCTTATGTCAAGTAAAATAAGGACTGAATTAAAAAATAAAATATGTAAAAGAAAGCTTTTGAAAAATGTACATCTTAAAATAAAGGACTTAATTTTAGAAAAATTAACTGAATTAACTGTCAGGTGTGACATGATGTCACCCAAAAAAGCCACAATATTATATTCTTATCTTCTAAAAAGAGAATTTTTTGTGCAGGGACTTGATCTGTGGTGAGTGAAACCACTTGTTTCAGCTCTATTCCTCTCTGTTAACATCATGGTTGGGCAGTGACTTCATGTGTTTTAGGATTCTGATCATTTTGAGTGGTTACATTTGCTCAAAAGAGTTGTTCTTTGTGACGTAGCGGTGCTTCACATTGCTGCTTGTATTAATCGCCACGGCCTCTGAACATATGAGACACACTGGTTTTGAACTGGGAAGAATGAACCTATACGAGTCTTTCTGGTCTCGCGGTCTACATTCCTGTTTTTGGAGCACACCATGTGAAATAACTTCTCTGACTCACGTCACACTACTCAGTCTCCTCCCCCCCCTCCCCCGTGTGTGTGTGAATCTCACTCGAGTCGGGAAGTTTGATTGCCACATTTGATTGGCTGAGCAGCATCACGTGAGATGATTTACAACGCATATAATTGGTCATTGTGTTTCCTGGACCGCTTAACGAGTGCCGTAAAGGCTGGAAAAGCTGCGCCGGTTAAAATAGAAGCGCTCCGTCAAAATAAAATAATTCTTAATTATCTATCGGGTCCAGGTCCAGGGTCCCGGGTCCGGATACGTTGTCTGGGTCCGGCTCCGGACCGCCTATTAGTGACCCCTGGTCTATAATATGACTTTTTTCAACGTTCTATACTATGACATTTTAGCGATTATTTTTCGACGATGACTATTTTTGACATATATTAATATGACTTTTATTTACATACTGTATTATGACTTTTTACGGAATACTTTACTTTAATTTGTTTTCCTTGTCGAAAAAAGTCAAATAAATAATAATGAAAAAATTATAAAAAGTAATTTTATAGTCAAAGTCATAGTATTACTTAATAATTGGTGGAAGTAGAGAAGGAGGTAGTATCATTGGTCATAGTATATGATATCATAGTCATAGTCTTAGTTGAGACTCATAATAAAGCATGTCATAAAAGAATAGGTCATATTATATGCATGAAAGTAAGTAAACATACACACACACACAAGCATTCACGTATTCACTCTCCTTTTAGTCCTGAGGGAAATGTCTGACTGCTCAACCTTATTATCCCCCAGGGGAAATGTTTTGCTAAATGTTCCACTATATTAGCCAGCTAGTCTGTTCTGTGAAAAAAAAAAAAAAAAAGCTGAAGCAAGGTTCATAAGAGGACTGAGATTGAACGAAACAGGGACAGTTGTAAGCCATAAAACCAAAACAACAAGACGCTAAGACACTGTTGAGTGTTGTGATAATGCTCTCTATAGGTTCATCACTACGAGCCACCCCGAGCGCATTCCATATTACACAGTCATTCCTTTAAGGTTAGGGGCAATTGATATAACTAATAACAGTGTGTTTCTGTGAGCATCTCTTTGTGTCCTACCTGCTGGGCGCAGGGCTCCTCCAGCAGCACTCCCAGACTGCGAGGGTTCTTCTGGTAGTAGGAGATCAGCTCTCCCAGTGTAGCGAAGGAGATCTTATCCGAGACAAAGTACGCCCCGATGGTTGAGCGTTGAATCCTGAAGTGGTACACTTTTCCCTCACTTCGGGCTGTAAGAGGGACAAATCTGATTATTTCACTATCAAACTCAGAATGTATCATTTCAGTCTTTGTCACAACCAGAAAACGAGTTGTGTTTGCTTGGAAGATAAGAAGACTTGTGTAAGAGTATGAAGAACAAGATGGTCGTGTTTATAGGGTCTAAGGAAAGCCAGTAAATCTGACATGAATGTGTGTAATTGTGCCATAAAACCGAGTAATTGAATGTGTGGTCTGTTCTGCCTTCACTCTCAGGCACGTATGCACACACAGAGTACTGATGATGCATATTTCAAAAGGACCAGCACAGTGAAAATTGAACATCCAACGGCAGCATTTTCCCCTGGGACCTAAAGGACATTGAAGAGGGGCAGGGGGGGGAGAGAGGGAGGACTGTATAGAGGGAGGAAGTGGACGAAGGGGTGAAGAGGAAAAAATGCAGACGCAGAAGATGGTGAAGCCAGAGGGCGAAAAAGAAAAGAATGGAGCAGAGAGAGAGAAATGAGCTGGAGGTGATGCAGAGGAGAGGGAGAAATAACAGAGGCTTTAAAGTCACAGATCTCAGGAGGTCCATTAGACAATTGACTGTGGGCTCATTCATAAAAGGGTAGTTTGATGACAACAACTGGCTTCCATAAGTAGGTTACTGCGGCTAAAGACAAGACATTAAACTCTCTCGTCTACAAAACACTCCAGTTAACACTTTGTTGTCGGGTTTATGGAGTCCTCCTTTTTTCAAGCTCTATTTTAATTTCAGAAAAAAATTAAATAAAATGTTTGGACATCATTAGTTGCTACAAATGTTAGCTGACGGTTCAACATTTTGGTAATTTACATATTTTTTCTTTCTGAGAGTAAGCTAAGAATCTCAATGTCAATCTCATGTCTGTGTATCAAGTACTTAGCAGGAGGTGATTAGCTTAGCTTTGCATGAAGACTCATTCGGGGGGGGGGGACAGCCTGGCTCCCTCCAGAGTTACAAAAAAACAGAACAATCGGTTCTCGTGACATCCCTTCTACAAACGCCTCAAAAGTTCACTTATTAACACAGTTAAATAAGTGAGAGTTAAATACTGCTTCTACATCTTAACAGACAACCAAAACAAAACCACAACATCACGTGTCAATGATATTTGTTGAATCAAGGATCTAGATGAAGGAATAAACTGCAATGCCAAACTGCCATTTCTTTATCTTTTCCAATTTCTCTCTTGTTAACGTACACAGAAGCATGCACGAACACATCCTTAACTACATCTACATAGTGTCACATCATCCAAACACAAAACTGGTCAGTCTGTCGCAAACAAAAACCTCCAAATCCGAAAATCAAAAGACAAATTATTCCTATTCAACATCAATTGAAGTCGTAGCAGTTTAAAAAACTGCAATCAGTCGTTTTTGCCACCGTCGACCTCCAACATGGCTGCCTGAGGGCATGTTGTGTCACCTCCTGCCCTCTATAGTGGGAGCAGAGAGAGAAAATCGAAGGCAGGGAGATTAAGGTTGACAGTGGCTGGAGGGAGGACATGATGGATGAAGAGAAATGCAGCTAGTGACATCAGGATTCCCACCGAAACAAAAGCACTGCAATTTCAGAAAATACATGCAAATACATACACTTTGATGCATTTAGAAAGAAACCCTATAACTAATAAATCACAATTAAATTCAAGAAGAAACATGCTGCAAATACGGAAAAAATAAAGAGTATCTGTTGCTGATCCCTCATCAAAGCTGTTCAAAAATGAGTTTGAGTTTAATTTCTGATTGGGTTTCTATTATTAGAGAAAATAGCTAGTGTGCTGCAGGAATGAGTCCTAAAACCTGGAAATGAGTCAGCACGTTTGCCTTTCTGTTGTCATCATCTCGAAGTAAACTGTTTTTTTAATATTATTATTTAGATGCCTGAAATAAGGTCTGTGGTTAACACAAACTTAAGTTATTGTAATGTTTTTTTCTACGACATAAAATAAGTCAGTTAATATGAATCCATCAATTCTGAAGCTTTTATGTGTCTTAAAAATGCAGCTGCTAGCAAGTGGCTAGATGATACTACAAAACGTCATAAGTACTTCTACCACCGCTGTAAATGAAAAGTTGAATTCATCAGAAATAAATATGCACCCTCACTCACATCTACACTCAAAGGTTTTGCTGCTGCAGACTTACTTGGTAACTCAGGATATGTATGGCTCTTGTATACATGTGCTACTCTTTACCATTACCCAGCTCTCCCGGCCACTGTAACATGGAGTTTCTAGAATATCTTGAATTTCCATATCGTGAAAGTCAGAGGGGCGAATTCACAAAGAAGAGATTGCGGCCACTGATAGCACCATAAATTGTGCACCACTTGCAACCGCTATCTTCCACGTCTCAAGGTCCCATTCACAGATGATATTACTGCTTAGTGCAAATTTCACCTTTTTTTTGCAGAGGGAGAAGGACAATAACTTTAACTTTCATTCATTTTGTTCTCATGTATTTCAGAAATGACATGTAGGGAAGCTTTATTCATCCCGTCACTGGATCCCACAATAAATGAGTTTGAGCGGACGCCCTTTTTAAATCCGCTTCAGTGAGCCACCAATTCTCTAAAGACGCCAATAGTTTCACTGTGAGCTGATTTTGAGAATTTGACTCCAATAAGGCTCATCTGCATAGAAAGGGTCAGCTTTTCAGCCAAACATTTGCATATTCATTTATTTAAATATGTGCAGACAGCACAGGAGCACTGAGACACAGCTCGGGGTGCTTTTCACTCTTTTACGGGTGCTTTGAGGGAAACACGATTTATTTTTGTCTCATTTTTGCAGGTGTACTGGCCGCAAAAGCCGTGCAATCCTCTTGTGAATTCGCTCCTTAAAGATTAATATTACCTTAATCACAGACTTTTTTTTTGTAAATTATCAGAATGTATTTTTACAACTGGTTTAATTTACTGCATTAGGTTCACAGCAAGATTCAGCTACAAGTTATAACAACAAACAAAACAAGAAGGAATTAAAGTCGGAGCGTGAAGAATAGTTTGAAGAAGGACGTGTGCTAAATATAAAGACAGGATGAGAAACAGAGAAAGATGAAAGATAAAGAAAATAAGAGAGGAACGAGGTCACTGCTGTGAATGGATGGGCGGTGCCACTTACCAGAGATTGTGTACTCATCACTGTGACTCTCACTGATGCGAACCAAGAAGGAGCCATCTTTGTTTTGGGAAGCCAGCAGCAGCTTCTCAGCTTTCACACGGTTTATATTCCCATAGTACCACCTGCAAAGCGGACAGATAACATAGATTGTGGGATCAATGGATGATCAGACATTTAACACAAAGAAAAACCACAATCATGATTAATGAAAACAGAGAAAGATGGCAGTAAATGGACGAATGAATAAAAAGAGTGAACAAAGACAAGAAGAATGTGGTACATGTGAAAGCAGACATGCAGAAGCCCACACACACTAAAGCAGAACATGTATGTAGGTAAATACACACACACACACACAGATATCAGTTATAACAGCAGCAGCATGTTCAGCCACAATCTGAAGCCCCATTGTGTGCATGATGTCAGCCATTAATAGAATACACAAAGGTACACATTTGAGGTATCTGTATTTTACAATTCATGCTACAGTGAGAAGATTGGCTTTTTCTATATTATTAATCTCAATGATTGCCATCGGGTCCGATTCCCCGTACCGTAGTATTTTCACAGTGTGGTATGAGTACCTTTACTAAAGTAAAGTATCGGAATACTTCCTCCACCACTGATATGTAACATTGAATACTTTGGAGGGATTTGTTATTCACAAGCTTTAAGAGCTAAAGTGTCATTGAGTCCTACCTGCTTGTTCACATACAGAAACGGACCTTTATTTACTTTAAGTTATCCGGGAGGGCGTGTCGGCTCTGCCTGACATTCAGGTTTCACAGTAACAACATCCTGCTACTAAAGAAACAGCAGAGATCGCTGAATAACAGAACCGAGAAATATTGTACTGTAGTGATACATTTAAAATTAAATAAAAAATTTTAAAAATGTACCAGCACTAGAAGTTTCTATGGGAATATTGCAGGGATGCAGAGTTACAACATAGTATAAATACAGGAGCTGAAACAGTTGTTTCTGCCATTATTCAAGATTTTATTGCTGTTCTATATCACTTCTAATTTGATATTTTGTTATTTTTAAACTGTTGATCTGACAAAAAAATAGCTTTTTCATTATCTTGGAGCTTTTCACCGTTATCATATTCAGACAAAATGATTCATAAACCAACTAATCAGCAAATTGATCGATAATGAAAATAATTGTTATGCGCAGCCCTAAAAACTCTTACGTTACTATAAATTAATTTAAGTAGGTCCTAAATTACTGTGCATCACAGTAATATTATAGGAATATCATCTTCGTCACATCAAGACTTTAAAATAACTAATTAAAACAGTTCTTAAAACTGTTACCTGTCATCACACACACACACACAGTGTAAGCCTCTGAAAGCATGAAACTCATACGGTAAGGCACAACTTGACGCATATTCTCCACTACACAGTACAAATTATAACATTGTTCTTGTTTTTTGGGGTGCGACTCATCTCCTTATACTTATAGGAATGTCACAGTGATGCTGCAGGAGATAACATGAGCTCAGCATGAACTCATAACACTGGTGCTTTGATCTTTTTGGTTTCTCATTCTTAGGCTAAAAATAGTTTCTGTCATGGGTTGACATTCATCATTGGAACAAAGAATAAAGCTTCAACATTATCAAAAGGGAATCAGTGATGCTATTATTGTTTTGAGGCCTATATCCTCAGTTTCAGTGTTGTGTTTGAGGACAGTGGGACATTCAATCGGCAGCATGTACGCAGACAGAAGTCAACCGAAAGAGGCAGCGCTCTGTGCTGAAACATGAGGACTCCCTGCAGGCTGAATGAATAATGGAGGACCTGCAGCTGCAGCTTCTGGGCTACTTTTAGCTCCAGTCTGGTTCAACAGCAGCAGAGGTTGTTGTTTCATCTCCAAACATTTGTGTTCAACTTTGCTTTGGACGACAGGGCGATGCCAGTAGGCTTCAAGTTCAGTTTTCAGTTTTTAAACTTATTAGGCAACAGACGAATACTATGCAACTATCTTATATCCAAAACGACAAATATTTCCCTGGTTCCACCTTCTCCAATGGGAATATGTTTGGTTCTTCTTTGACAGTAAATTAAAAAATGTTTGGGTTTCGGACTCTCGTCCGACAAGAAAAATAAAATGTATTATGTCAATTTGGGTTTATCGGAAATTGTGATTGATATTGTTTTCTTCTTATTTAAAAAAATAAATGTCAGACTTAATCATTAGTCAAGAAAATAATCCATAGTGAAAATACTAGCAGCACGATACTAACTCAAATAGCTGGATCGGGTATCGGTGACAATGAGGCCAATCCCTTCAAATTAATTCTATGTTTATATATTATATATACATACATACTGTAGTTTCCTGTTTAAGTTTTGACAAATGTGATGCTGCATTTAAAAGAGCCAACATCAGGCTTGATTTAAACATCACTTTCCTAATTTTGTCAAATAAAATGTTACAAATAAATACATAGATATAACTGTAATTGTTATTATAAACATAAATCGTACACCAGCAACTTTGTAAAACATCTTAAAATGTGTGCACAAAAGACAATCCCAGTCTCCTCCACACAGGGAGGCATACAGCTTATTGATCAAACAATGGTATTGGATCGACTTGGTATCAGCCGATACCTAAAGTCAAGGTATCGGACTGAAAAAGTTGGATCTGTGCATCACAATACTTTTTTTGTCCAACCAACCAACAGATCAAAACTTAAAGATATTTAACTTAATATCACGAAAGACTAACAAATACCCCCAAAAGATCCACATTTGAGAAGGTGGAACCGGTGGATTTTTTTTTTTTTTTTTTTTTTTAAACCATTTTTGATTTAAGAACCTACTTAAATTAACTATCAAAAATAGTTTCATAAAATATTTCTATGGATCATTTACTCATCTAACTCAATAACTATTACATTTCAAATGACATAGAAACAGTAAATCAATTAAAAACAAATGAAGACTTCAAAACAGCTGCCAAAAATGAATTATTGTTTCAGCGCTATAAT